ACTCAGAAACACTGAATCAGCAGCAGTGTCCACCCAGCTCAATATCAAATATCCAACAAAAGCTTTTAGATTATGTTCTAACTTCTCAAGAAATTAACCTAATATTGTCATCAATTCAGAACTGCATTTGAAATATTTCCTTTTAATAAAGGTTTACAATAAGATTAACTGGTATTTAACCACTTAACTTAAAATTGCTTCCTGTAGAATTAATACTTAAAATGGTTTAGACACCAGAAAACTATCTCCTGAGCAGAGAAAACAAAAGGCATGCATGCTGTACATCAGCTGATTAAAGAGTTCAGTTTTCTGTATAAACGAGACAACAAAAATGATGACAAACAGCTCTGTTGGCTGCTCGAAGCCAGAATGACAACACGTTTCAGCCTTGCTATTGTCGCTGGTGGTAGCAGGTTTCAGAGGCCGGACCACTGTAAAAAAAAAAAATTCTCAAAAAGGAGCACGGATCTCCAAACAGGCACCCAATGAACAATTTGTTTGGGCATGTGATGTGAGTCAGAAGCAAGCAGCTGACAGGGTTATAGGTTCAATCCCTACAGCGAGGCACTAACAATCAATGTCATATGTGGGTTTTCTGAAAGGTTTTGAGTACATACAAGAGATGGTCTACATCCACTGTTGTGTTCATGCAGTTTCTTTCTACTGATGTCAGACACAGCCATTATTAAACACCACTTTTGGTGTGTAAAGCAAAAATAACCTCACACTGATTGTTATTCCAACAGCTTTTTCTTTCTGACTTTAATTTGGGACAAATATGCATTTTTGCCACAACAGGTCACATCATGGTTAATGTAAGACACAGTCATGAAATCTGTCTGTTGGTTGTTAGTTAGGCCTATGTGTATTAATCTTTACCATTTAAATTCATTTTTCCTAAGGTACTAGCAGTTCCCGTTTACAATGTAACTATAGATGTACAAAGAACAATCACTAGATACAGAAGAAAATATGAAGAACATAAAATATTTCTGTATTTATTATCAGCCCTTAAAATGGTATCTAGTTCATCAGTGTTTTAGTCGTCAGAAGGAAGGCAGAAGTGATTTTGAAAATGAACACCTGTCAGTAATTTGATGCATTTCAGAATAAAAGCCAGAGCTCCAAACAAGACCTCGATGCTGCAAGTGATTCATGACACGACAGAGCCTGAGCTGCTGCTATTCGAAGACATCCACAATAAAAAAATGAAACTAATTTATAGCCACAAAGCTCTCGGTTCATTTCTGCTCTCTGTCACAACCGATACTCGTGCCAGAAACGGCCTCTGAATGTATTTTTTCCGCAGTCGAACCACCTCTCCATTTCACAGGCAGCAGGTCCTCCCCGCATTCCTTTTCTCTTGACGTAAAAATGGGAGGAAGCAGGCAGGATTACTCACATCACAGAGGTGGAAACAGAGGGTTACAGCTGAGAGAGGAGATGACTCAGAGCGCTGCAGACATGAAGGCAACACAAGTACAGATAGATCCAAAGCCTGGATCACATGGCTGTCCACACAAGACCTTTACTACCATACCAGTTAATCGGCCAGATCTTGTATGGAAGAGAAGTCACAGGGAGACGGGCAGGGTGGACATCTGGATGGACAAATCTCAGGACTTTGAAACCAGGGTTCATGTCCTGCCTCCCCTCTATTGGTGGGTTTAGGCTACTAGACCTTTTGGTTTTGGTTAAATACTGAAAAAAAAGGTAATATTTAACCAATATCACTAGTTTGCCAATGTTGAACCTAAACTACAAGAAATAAAATATCTCTAGAACACTTCTCCTCTATACTTCTGTTTTAGTATCAGGTGTGAGGTGGGCTGCAATATCACCGAGTGCCAACATTCGAAAAGCAACCAAACTTAACAAACAAAAAAGACATGTATTCTTATTATTCTTCTTACACCGTGTCAAGACCTGGTCACTGCAGCATATAAAACAACAACATATTATGACTGAATCATGGCAAGTTGGCAAGCTAAGGAAATCATGTAATTAGCATGTTATCTAATATAGTTTAAAACTGAGGATGCTGTCATAGCGTATTCACTTTTAAATTAACCTTCTCTGCTCCACAAAAAGACATTTATGAGACAGGAGCCAAATATACACATCTATCTTTTGAACTGTGAATTTATTGTCCTTGTCCACAGTAAACAAGCTAGTCAGTTGCAAGGACTTTAAATGTCCTTTTTATTGACACTAAATTATGTACAACCCTGATAACCAAAAACGAGCAGGAGTAAACAGCACAATATAGAGAAAACAGACAGAACCTCAGAGCTATTGTGATTGACCAGCACTAGCGTATTGCTCGATGACTTCTGTGTTTAACTGTGAGTCAAGCAGTGCACCAAGTAGCCCTGTAGTCCTTATGTCACAGAGCTTTTAAAACCGCATGTTTATTGCTGTATCACTCCTCGAAGGGACTGGACCTTAACAAATAAATATTAAGGATTCACATGCACAAAAATGTTTTGTCTTTTTTTGTCGGTTATGGGTCAGAGTGCATCACGGAACATGTTCATCTCACTGGCTGGGTACTAGAGTACACCTATCCCCTGCAAATTACATGAACTGCATCAGCAAATATGTTTTGATAGAAACATTATGCTACCTGAAGAATGTTTTATCAACATAATAATGAACAATGTATGGTTAAAAAGTTCTCCTATACGGTATTTTATTCATTATCCTAAAGTATAGCAACAACAATGTGATGAACACTTCAGTCAAAGCATTTAGTTGACTTTCAGGTTCTTACTCAATTGGACTTGAAACAGAAATTATCTTTCACTAACCTTAACCAGAGTATTTTGTTGCTGAAATCTAACACGATGTGAACCCTGACATCCACTGTCAAAACCACCATCCGCCCAAACTACCACCCTACCACTATGAGAAAACCATGTAGGAGCCCATAAATGTAATTAAACAAACAAGACCAAAGGTGAAACCGTGTGTGGTGTCTTTACTCCCACCAGTCTTTAAACACTCCAGTCGTTGGATAAATGCAGTATTCAGTACTTGGTTAAATTCCAACTTCAGAATGTATATTTCAACCATAATGTCATATTAAATTGTTTGATATCATGTCTCTTTTCTCCACAGGAAACACCTTGTCCTTCCACTTCACACACACAAAGGATGAAAAACAACAAAAGCAACCTGTCAAACAAACCACACTTCTTTCTCCTTGCTTTTCTTTCTTTTTTTAATGCCTTTCCTCTCCTGGTTTCCCTTCTATCCACCTTCCTCTCTCCCCCTCCTCCCTCGCTCTGAGGGCTGGTGAAGCTAATGTAGACACACAGAGGTGGAGGAAAGAGGGGAGGAAGCAGGGACAAAGCGGGCCGAGGCCACAGAAAGGCGGACTCCTGCCGAGCCAAAGATGCGGCTGACACGCCGTACATTCAGCCGTCTTTAACTGGCTATTAATGAGGTCAGCATCAGAAAAAAAAGTCTCCACATGTGAAACAGCTTAAGTTAAAGTCAGAAATGAATCTAATGAGCTCTAAATCTTCTACTGCACATTGCCATCATTACCAGTTTCAATAATCGCCTACCAGTTTAATTCGTCTCAACAAACCAAGTTTAGATACAGCTGACAGGCAAATAAAACACAGACAAACAGAAAAAATATCACATATGAGAAGCTGGAGGTTGAATATTTTCACTGGATTTGTGACTCCTTCATTTATTAACAAAGTATTCATTAAGTAATTGATTTAAGCAAAAAAGACCAAAGACAACCAAATGGGCTAAAGTAAGGATGTAGTTAAAAATGATCAATTTAAATACAATCCATTTCAACATGAAAAATGGGAAAACCATTCTGTGACATGACAGTAATAAGAGCATATCATTCTTAAAGGCTTCAGTAAGACCAAAAAGAAAAAGCCCACCTCCAGGCAGACGAGTTGAAAGCCAGAACAGAAAAAAATCAGCACGTTCTGCTGCTTTGTGTCCCTCTGGTTCAAACAACAGCCGAGCACCAGCTTTATTAATCAGTCTACCGAATGTAAGAAAACGTGAAGTGTCCATCAAGGTGATGCCTTCAACTGGCTTCTTTTGTCTAACCAACAGTCCAAAACCCAAAGATATTAAGTGTACAGCGATATAAAAGAGGGAAAAGCACACATTTCAGAAGCTGAAGCGTTTGCTGTTTCCCTTCAAAGATTGTCAGTAGTTTTGTTATTAGAATAATGTATCTGGCATGAATACAATACTGTGTTATAAAACATTTATTAATAGTACTTAATGCTAAATAGGGGAACATAAAATTTTCCATGCTGTATTATTTATTCTGGAATGAAACTCTTCCTCTTTCTCTAAATGAAGAACAGACAACAAAGAGCCGACAGCTGTTGGTGTCCAGCTCGGCCTCGACAGCAGCCACATCTTCGGCTCCACAAACTCACAGAACCAGGCAGCATTTTGCAGTTTTTATTTGTCTAAACCTTTGTGTTTTTTTTTTTTTCGAGGACTTTTTCCTTTTAAACATATAAAAAAAAACTCCTCCCAGCAGCTGAGAGCAGAGCTGGGGACAATTTCAGTCTAAAATGCCACAGACAGATCAATACAGTCAATTCATTAATCAATAAAAAGGGAAACTGGTGTAAGCAGTGATAATGTTGCTGTGTGTTTATACAGTTTGCTTTCCCTTTTCAGTTATTTTAACTCATTTTCAATCAGTAGGAAAGATATCTATTTCTTACAACATTTCTTTAGATGATTTTTTTTCTCTCTTCCAACGGATTCATAAAAACAGGAACTGACAACAAAAAGCCGACAGCTGTCTGTGTGCACAGCTCGGCATCCACAGCAGCAACATCTTCATCTCCACAAACTCAGAACACCAGACATCATTTGGAGACAAACCAGCTCAGCGATTTCAAACATGCAGCACCGTCCTCAGCCTTTTCTTCAGTGACACACACTTGAAGAAGGACTAATACCTTGAACATAATTTTTAAAAAGGTGTTATCACTTACTGAGGATGGCAAGCCTGGAGGAACCTTCCGCACTTTTTTTGTGTGAATATCTGAAAAAGAAAAAAAAGCAACAAAACAATATATGAGGGTCTAACAGGCCAAGAGGCTCTTATTTGTCTTTTTAAAAAGATGTTCTGGTTTGATTTGTTTGAATTTCATCGATCACCCAAAGTGGAAAGAGCAAGGCCACTTTTCCCACTGCCGTCGATATATTTACAAAGACAGCTTTCACTGCAAACAAGCGCGACACAATAAGATGCAGCAAATAAAAAGACCGAATACAAAAAGGAAAGGGTTGATGTTTTTCTTCTTTTTGGTTTGACAAAAGGAAGGAGGATGGCTTTTCACATGTTTATGTTATTTTTCAGGGTTTCTGTCAAGGAGAGCGAGAGAGCGGTCTATTAACTGGGAAGGTGAGACTGATGGAAAAATGAAAGGGTGTTTTTTTGGGGGGGGTTTTGGATATTGGCCCAGAGTGTGTGTGTCCTTTCAAGGCTAATGGTATCAAGGCTACACGGCGGCTTCTATTGTCCTGCATTCCTTCATTTTAACTTTACTATATATATTTTTTTTTCTTAAACTCCTCTTTCAAAACACACACAGACAAACAGCATGGTTGCACAGACACATGGACACACACAATAACAATGTTCGGCCTTCTAAACAGCTGTGTTCCTGAAAACACACGGCGGCTGTCAACTGGATTTCACCGGGGTCGCTACCAAAATTTCCTGTTTGGTTACAGAAATCTGAATAAAAGCAGACGATTATCTAACATGCTGCTTTATTTCAGCCTTTTTTAGAAGAAGAAATGTGCAGTGTTCTCTTAGAAATATTAGGACTGATGATAAAAATGCACTGAAAATTGGTCCCTCTTGAGATGAAAGCACTGGGTCTCAAAACCTACATAAAACAAAGGCAGGCGCTCTTCTAGTAGCTTAGGCTCTGAACATCAGGATGTATTTCCATGAGCTCACATCATGACTGATCAGCAAAACACCAAGATTTAGATGATCACAGTGCCAAAGACAGTATTTTTGAAAGACTATTCCAAAACCAAACAAGGCAAATCATTATCAGGATCACTATTGTTATTAGGATCATAAAAAAGGCAAATGCCTGAAAATTAAGTGAAAGCCCACCCTTTCAGACACCCCATGCTAACACTGTCTCACTTAAGAATCAGCTAAATGAATGTAATGTGATGTAACCCAACCTGAGCCTGAATGACATGTACTGTAGGAGTGTATTTATGGCATAAAATCACTGAGCAAACTAATAAATATGCCTTTGACTGAAATCTTGAATGTCTCACACAGAAACCAAAGCTATGCAGTCTCTGTTAACCTATAGAGACCTATAATTAATAACACTTTCCCAAGAGAAGCAACATCAAAAGAAACAAATTTACCTTGAATTATTCTGTTCTCTAATTTTTTTGACAGGTGTCTGTTAAAATTCTATAGCAAAAAAGTTCCGGTCAACAGTTTAACCACTCTTCCAAAGCTTCTGTTTAAGTTCTGTTTCCATATTTCATAATAGAGAAGCAGCTTGATAAAAGATTGTAATAGTATCACTCAGTCTCAGCATATAGTGAATGTATAATGTACGTGTTTAGTGGTGTCTCACCCATGGTGTCCATATGCAGTGCTCTCCTCCGTGGGTTGGAGCCGTAGTGCTGGTAATACTGACTGGCAGGTTTGGTGGGCGACGCTGCGCCTGGGCTCCCCAAACCCAACTCACCACCCAGTATCGACTGGTCAAGAGCCACAGTGACAGTCAGAAACAAAAACAGAGAGAGTATTAATGAAAGACTCACCATTCTTCACAAGGACACACAATAAAACATCAGTAACAACAACAATTTCCAGTTTCTGAAGATGTCAAGAGTGAATATTCAAACAAGCAAGTCAAAATCTTTTAAAAGCAACCCTCAATAATTTTACTAATTCTTAGTAATTTCCTAAAACACCTGGGCACAGTAGTTTTTAGCACTCTCTATTAAGTGCATTTCTGGGGAACTATTTTTTGCTGTGGATTCATACACATTTGGTTCTCTTGTAGCAATATTTAGATTGGCATATAATATTACCTGACACTCTTAAAAACGAGCCTCAAACAGTCAGATTGTTGAGCATAATCAGCTTAAGGGCAATGCAACTGATTTGAAAGTATGCTGAAGTTGATGCTAGTAAAGGAAATAAAATTTGAGTTGTTCCAATAATCTCTGATTAATATCATCGATATTAATATCAGAATATTCAAAGCAATTGGGGAACAGATGTTTATATTGTTGAGTTTTTGAAAAACATTAGTAAAATGTTATCACTTGAAATAGAGGATTGTTGAATATTGAGGGAAAATACGGAAAGTAACTGGATGATGATAGCTGTTAATAGATTAGCACAGCTAGCACGGAAAGTGAAGCTGGAGTTTTGAGGACAATTTTAAATACTGAAGGTGACAAGAATGTTAACAAAAGAAATTACTGTAATTATCTCTAAGAACTACCCAGAATAATGTGGTAGATATTTAGAATATCAATGATAGTCAAATTAACGATAAAACAAATTTTAATGAAATTTGATAATTGGAATGTAGAGAACTGTTGGCGTTTTGAGGAAAAGATGAAAGATGCTGATCATCAAAAGTTGAAATATGGTGGAATGTTGAAGACAGTTGTATTGAATATAACTGGAATGTTGACAATTGTATTGCTAAACAGGCAAAGCTAAATGAAATGAATGTTGTTAGTAGTGTTTCTAAATGTAAACACCTGAAATATTCATCGTAGTCAGAATATTAAGAACAGTCAGAATTCTGACTGCTGATAATATTTGGAATGCTGGAGTGCAGTGACATGCTGAGACTGCTGATAATATTTGGAATGCTGGAATGCAGTGTCATGCTGATGCAATGGTTAGCACTGCTGCTTCACAGCAAGGGGGTTACGGGTTTGAGCCCCAGGCCGACCCGGTGCCTTTCTGTATGGAGTTTGCATGTTCTCCCTGTGCCTGCGTGGGTTCTCTCCAGGTACTCCGGCTTCCTCCCACAGTCCAAAGACATGCAGCTTAGGTTGATTGGCGACTCTAAGTTGCCCGTAGGAGCGTGTGTGGTTGTGTGTCTGTAAGTATCAGCCCTGTGACAGACTGGTGACCCTGTCCAGGGTGGACTAAGTGTCAGCTGGGATTGACTCCAGCCCCCTCGCGACCCTCTTCAGGATAAGTGGTATAGACAATGGATGGATGGATGGATGTTGGTGTGCTGAAGAAAAAGACCATCCCCTCTGTGAAAAATGATGACCCTATAGGTTTTTAGTGCCAGCAGGTTATTATGACCCACAGTTACGTGTTATAGCCAGCTGGAGGGGGTGAATGGAATGGTCAGAAAAAGCAGGACTTTCCCACAAGCAACTGTTCTTTGTTTCTCATTTCCAGTTGAAAGATAATGTTGTTTTTTTATTCTACAATGTCAAATGCATTTTCATTATTGTGACAACAAAGGTCTTCTAGCCTTATTTTAACCTAAGCCATGATCTTTTTCTAAACCTAGCCAAGTAGTTTTTGTGCCTAAATGTAAGCAAATCGTCACTGTTCCATAACCTTAAGCACATGTTATTATTGATACCATGACGACAAGGGGATGGTATGCCTGCCGTTGGTATGCTCCTATGGCTTGGATTACTGTTACCATGACAGTGAAGGTCTGGTGGTGTATGAGCAGGATGTATGGCAACACCAAAAGTGGAAATTAACAATTAAATTTTCATTTCAATGTTTGAACATGGATATTTACAACCAAAATTGAAATCAAATCTAACACTCTGCTAATAAACAATCGTAGTGTACTAACACTGCCTAAATATACAAAGCAAACACATTACAGATGTGATGTTTTAAGATTTCTTCACATTCTCACATTAGATAACCCTATACACAATACATAATTGACACTAAAAGTTCCACATCATAAAGAAAATCATCCAAGAACAAAGACTGTACCTCAGACACCTTAAGCCAAGCTGATAATGATAAATGAAACCATGGCTGTGATGGTATTTACCTCCAAGAGAGCGACCTCATGCTGCTCAAGGTGGAGCCGTTCATCTCACAGCTCCACAGCTCAGAGTCTAACTTCTCCTCTCTGCTGCTTTTTCCCTTCTCTAACTCTGACTCTGTTTACGGCTCAAACTTAGCAAACCGCTCACACATTGTCCCGCTAATTAAGTTCAATGATTCGCCAGCAACAAGTGGCGTCTGGGCTGATTTGGAGAGAAAAGAACACAAGAATAAAAGACAGAGAGAGAGAGAGAGACAGAGAGAGATAGAGGAGAGGATCATCATTTTTTAAAGTGGCACAAAAAGTTAGCGAGGCGGAAAGAGGTGAAAAAGAACCTGCCAACCTCCACCTCCCACCCTAAATAGACTCCACCACTCCTCTGATAAATTGTAGATTTTTTCCCAGCTTTCTAGTTAAGTAATTAGTGTGCAGTGTATTTAAAGCAGAGGGTAGAGGAGTGCGTTTGGAAGGAGGGGTTGAATTTTTGTCAGGCTAATCTGAATTCTGATCAGCCAGTCCTTCCTCTCTGCGGCTCTAAACAAGAGTTAGCTTGGCACTGCAGGGCCAAGAAAGGCTTTTCTCATGCTAAACAGGGCCTAAGTAGGCCAATTACAGGGCCAACCTCGGTCTCCGAGCCATTCTCTGGCTTAAAACAAAAGGGCCCTTGTCTTAAATAAAGTCAGTCACACACACAGAGAGGGAGAGGGAGTCACATACAAAGGCACACACATGCAATCACACACCGATTCAGTCATTCTGTTCCTCTGTCCGTGTGTGTTTCATTGTGTGTGCTGTCGGAGGGTAAAAGGGGGTTCCCACTAAAACAAAAAGGGTCTCATTGATTGTGGGGCTTCTTTCTTTTCTGTCCTTTACTTTCTTTCTCCTTTCGTACTCTAGCATCGAGCCAGGCCAGGCGGTCGCCCCAGCAACTGGAAGAGCTGGAGGAGAGACATAATGCCCATCTGTCTCCCTGACTGTCTCTCTGTACCTGTTTGTCTCGCTGTGTCCATCAAATGCACTTGATCACACAGTTTGTGCTCACTGCAGTTTACTTATTGTGAATACCAAGATTCAAAAGATTGAGGTGCTAAAGGGCTATTGCAGTGATGTAGTGTGTAACTTCAGAATGTTAGCTGACTCACAAGAGCTAGATTAAAAAAAGAATGGTCAAAATCGAAGCAGCAGAGGCTGAACTAGAAAACAATGTCCTATAATGCAATGCAAGCATTAGCCTCTTTTCCCTGCGTGGTAAATCCCTGACAAACTTAAAAACTGCATGTACCAGTTTTTCAATACAGGCTTTCTGTTATAAATTTAAGGTCACTGAGCAAAAGAAACATCAATGAGTTTTCACATGGGTCTTCTAGAGCCACAGAACACATTATATATCTGGTTTTGTAGGCCGAGTAGTGCTCATTATGACCTGCAAACTGAGCAAAATTGCATAAAATTGATGTAATCAGCCTTTAACAGGGTTCACACTGACTTCCTCACAAACAAAAATGAATAAGAAGTAATATAAAAATTCTGTCCATCCATCCATTATCTATGCCGCTTATCCTGAAGAGGGTCGCTGGGGGTTGGAGCCAATTCCAGTTGACACTGGGCGACAGGGTAAACCCTGGACAGGTCGCCAGTCTATCACAGGGCGCACATTGTGTCTGTGTTGTCTATTTGGCATAGTAATAGGAATAGTTTGAACAAACTGGCTTAGATGAAGAATTTTATGAAGTGCACATGGACAAAAAGTCACTAGTAAATGTGTGTTTTACTTAAAACTTGTTGTCTTTGGATGCTGTTTAAGTATAACACTTCAACATGGATTGTCTTGATTTTTTATTATAGGCGTTTACATTAACACCACTGAAGGTTTTAGCTCTTTTTAACACTCAGCATGTAGCTGCTGTCGTGGGAAATAAAGGTTTTCACAGGTCCAAAATTGGCTCAGGAAAAAAACAGCTAAACTCAACAAGCATAAATAATACTTCTTAGTAGAGAGGTACATGAGAACAGTCAGACCTGGTGTGAACACACCCAAGTTAGTTACTTGATCCAAAATGCAATAGCACAATATGTCTTCAAATAACTTTGGAGTTTAAAAAAAGGTGTTTGCAGCCATGATTGTAGCTTTGAGATAAATGCGAACATCAGCATGCCAACGTACTCCTAATGTTAACATGTTGAAGTTTAAAAAGTATAACATTTACCATGTTCACCTTAATTTAGCGTGTTAGTGTGCTGACATTTGCTAATGATGGAAGTGTCCACAGGTTTTTGGCCATAAACCAAACTTTGGAAAAATTAAAACTTTGACCATCTTTGAGGGTCCATGGATATTTGTACAAAATGTCAAAGCTGTCCATCGATAGTTGTTGAGGTATTTCAGTCTGAACCCAAGTGGTGGAACGGCTGGTAGACCGACATTGCTGGCCATAGAGTCATGCTGCAAGTATGGCCAAACACTGCTGTTGTCACCAACACTGCTGGGCTGTTCTGGTTGGTAAACACTTTGCCTCCAATTCACTTTTCACCACATGTTGTTCCCCAGTTTTCCATCCTGTGATATCTCAGACATTTCTACATCTTTTGGATAGGATATTAATATGTCTGTGTTAAACCATGCTCCCAAGACAAAATTTGTTCAACCAGCTTGTCAGTGCATCGGCTTCTCTGCAAGCTACAGGCACCGATAACTCAGTCTTCATAGAAGTAAAGTTCCAGACAAACACTGTACTCAGGTTGACTCCTCCTTCCTGTTTCCCTCTCGCTTTCTTCTGTTTTCTTACTACATCATATTGTTTTCTCTCTGTCCCCATCTTTCTGTCTCTGTCTCGCTCACACACACAAAACACAACCAGAGGTCTGTTTCTCACAGAGCTGACTGGGCTTCAGTACCCAGCTGCTCGCAGAGACCATATTAACTAAGATAGATTACCAGAGATAGAGAGGGAGAAAAGGAGCGTGAGTGAGAGAGGCACAGACACACATACAGAGAGAGAGAGGTAAAAAATGGCAAATAAACAAAAAAAAAAAGCAGACCAAGAGGGGAACAGAGAACAGGGACTCCAAGGAAGAGGTCGAAAGAGAGAACAACAAAAGACAGAAACTGAAAATTGAGTACTGGGCGGGGGGCTCCTAAAACCATGGGTTTTGTATTGTTTTTGTGCAGATTAAACAAAGATGACACAACATATTAATTAGTGAGCCAGGCCAGCTGTTACCATGTTTCTAGTCTTTATCCTAAGCTGAGCTAACCGTATCTCGAATCCAGTTTTGCACACAGATATGAGAATGGCACTGATCTTCGTAACAATAGAAATGACCTTTATTATCTATACAAATGGTTTTCTATCTCTACGTTTCCTTTACTTCCACCCTCGTTTTCTCGTGGCTCATTTTCTTCCTCTCTCACTCAACCCTATGTCCTCGTGTGACTGAAAGAGCAAATGCTCACATGTCATCAATTTCCACCATCAAAAGGATGAGAGACGGGCAAAGAGAGAGAAGAAAGATGAAGAGAGAACAAGTTAGAGAGAGAGAGAGAGGCAGGAAGAAGCCATTAATTACCAGGAAGTGCTGGCGAGGCAGCAGCGCACCTGTATGCCAGCTTCGCTCCAGCTGACACGCACACTCGCAAATGCACATACACTAACACACATGTATATATACACACACACACACACACACACTCCTGGGGGAGTAAGGCCCTGAGGCTAGTACCAAAAACTGTGTAACTGAATAAAACTGGACTCATCAAGCCAGAACACTGTAACCTCACATTACACACAGCTCTATCTATCAGTTACCGCTTACTCTATTAAATGCCTTAATTTGTATAAAATGATGAAAGAAACCCATCACCACAGATCTCAGAGTCCTTATCACTAAGGACTCTGAGATCTGTCTTGTTTAAATTCAAAACCCAAAAATATTTAGTCTAAGATGCTAAGAAAACAGACAAAGTAGTATTTGTTCACGTTGGAGATGCCTGAAACAGAAAAGGTGTGGATACCTTTGTTTGATAAATTACTTAATTATAGAAGTTCTTGTTGATTCATTTTTTGTTGATTGGCTAATTAATTTATTGATTAATCCTCCCAGCACAATACATATTCATTACATCTATAGTGAGATTGCTTGTTTCAGTGTGTGAGCCACTACAGTATATCATCCCATTAATCATTTAATCACGCAGGAGCTTGACCATTCAAACTTGCTGTTTGTTTTGTGTTTTCTATCCACAATCAGTGCTTGTATCTTTTAACCATGATGGCACCACCATGTGCAGTAACTACACCCTAGCAGTAGAAGTGGAAGAACAATTTCTGCTAAGATCAGAAAATGCTCACATTTTTTGAGATTATAAACTAAGCATTTGGTTCTTTATTTTGGAGTTATACAACCTAACCACACACAACAGTGACATCACAGTGTACTGACATACACTGGAGTACACATGTACATCAGTGCAAGGGAATAAGGTTAAATCACTGGAGGTCAGCAAAAGAAGTGTAAAGATGCTCTTTAAACTTTAAAAACATCAAATAAATCAAAACTCTCTGTGAAATGGAGCCTCAAGATTAAGGCCCTTATCATTTCAGCTTTTATGTGTTTTAATGGTGCGTAGAGTATTACTTTTCCAATCTGCTATGCATCAAATTACTACAAACTAATTGCCACATAGTGAACATGGAGCTGTCAGGCCCCACTGGACAGTTGTCATCAATTTCTAAGAAGTGCAGTAATAATATATTTTGTGTATAGGCTTTCCTATGTATCTTTGTTTAGACTGATTGTGTAATGGCATCATTCCATATTCAATTAGCAAGTGACTTAGTAAAGTGTATAGTTTATTAAATGAGAATGGCATGGGGAAGAAGAACTACACACAGGCACCCACAAGTATTACCATGCACACTCTTTTCTTCTTCTTGAAACTGAACTTACATCATAGCAAAAGAAGGCAGTGATCATTTCTGTTATGTGATGGATTTTTTTTCCATCATCTGTTGAACATGATAGGATGAAGGGGCCTTTAAAAAGGACAAAAAGCTGCAGTATAAAATGTTTTCTTTCTTTACATCAGTGGTAGACTACCTCCTGATGAAGGCTAGAGTATCCTTCAGTTCTACATCTCTGCTCAAAATGATCAAAAGCACTATGTGCAATATAACCGCCACAAATCCAACCATTTGGAGTAACAAATTCAATATTTTAATAGACTGATTTTAAAAAATGGAAAACTAAACAAGCATTTTACAACTATTAGAGGTTCAATTCTCTGGAGCACGGCACTAACACTGCCAGTAATGCAGTAATAAAGACCGTTACTGTAGTAATGTCATCCACAAAAATGGCAAGTTGTAACAAACTGTTACATCTGAAAAGACAGAGATGGACAAATGTTACTTTATCAAAATGAAAGACAGACAGAGCCAATCATGCTGCAGATGTGACAGACACACAGTCAACCAAACCAGCCAATTGAATCAAGACGTTGGAGACTCTGAAACACCTGCTGCTGTGTGGGAATGTGTGTGTTTAGAATGCTATCACAGCAAGACAAACCTCAGGGACAGAACACAGCAACCACATGCACACATATTGTGAGGTCACTGATTGACCTGCTACATTCCCTAGCCCCTTAGCCTAACCTTAACCATCAGAACTAAATGCCAAACCTGAACGCTCAAACCAAGTCTTGACCCTCCAACGGCCCTTTGATGTTGTGTCCCCACAATGACAAAATGTCCTCACAGCAATGGCACAGAATCCATACAATGTAATAGATGTGCACAAATGCACACTACGCAGCCAGGGATCAACTCACCATTAACAACTTCCTATATCTTCTAACTGCTTCACACACCAACATACACACACTCACACAACATAGTTCAAAGCATTTCTCCTTAATTAGCGTTCAACGCTTGGCTTGACAAATAAATAGCAATCATTTAAGAACACTTAGAGAGGAATCAGACAGCACATTACACCTCACAATATCTGGCAGCTTCCTGCACACAATTAGAAAGGGGTGGGGTGGGAGTGAAGGATGAAGGGGAGAACACTGAGAAAAGAGGTTAGGGAAGGAAATAGTTCAGAGGGAGGAAATAGAGAAAAGAAGGAAGGATGGAAGTAAAACTGGGGAAGCCAGTCTGTAGGGAAGGAGGGATTGCAAGACGAACAATGGGGGAGACAATTTGAGTGGACGGAGAAGAGGAAGAAGGGAGGGTTAAATGAAAGGGATACGGGGCAACTTTAGTTATATTCACTTTTAAATTACAA